GCCTGGAATTCGGTTATGGCTTTGAGTTGCAGATAAGCACTGGTAACTACTTGTTCTGTTTGTCTACTGGGACATGAGGTCACCTGCAATGTACTGTATGTGGTCAACCCTCAGCCTGCACTGTTGCATGGTGTCACTTTGTTCCAGGTGCAGGACTTCTGTCTCGGTTAAACTTTGAGGATTATTTCAAGGGGCTGGAAAAATAGGCTTCCTCTGAATCTTACCAGCTAATGTGTTGGGCCTCTGTTCCACACTTCTCCCCAGTTTGATCTACAGATTTAGAGAGGATGTAATCTGTTTCATTGTCCAGTTGATTAATGAAGAGGTAAAACAAGTGTGACCTCAGTATTGAATGCCAAAGAGTGCCAATGTTTTTAAATTACATTGTTCAAAACAATTTGTAACTTCTTTCCCTGAGAAACTATATCCTTCTATATGGTTTTGCAAGAGCTCACTGTTTTGAGATGCAGAAAAGACAGACTGCATTATCTGTAAACAAGTTCTCATATTATGAGTTTTCAGTGCATGAAATGACTTTTTAGGCTTTAGATTTGTTTATCAACAGATTTTTTTTTATCCTTGTAATTTATCTTTAGCTAAGTCACTTCTTGGAAGAAGGCTTTGGTTGAAAATATTAGTATATTAAGCCTAAGAATTTTCTAATTCACCAGAATGAAAAACTTCCATCAGTGGACTTGCAATAAAATTTAGTTGACTCTTCAGGTAGTCTTGGCTATTAGCACTTGTTATCCTTTGTTTAAAAAAATGCTTTGTCTTGAATCCTGGCTGTTTGGCGTTGCTTGGTCAGCACTATGTAATATGCTCTATTCTTGAAGTGGTGGCAGTTATGTATCAAAGGCTTGGTAGCTTTCCACATATAGTTTTGTTCCAAATTAAGGTATGTCAGTAATATTCACAATGATCATTCTGGATAACAAGTAGTTATAATGAATAACTTATTCTAAATTATGTCATATGGAGGAATAAGTCGATTAAAAATGTCATGTTGTGTCGGCCTATTGGTAAAATCTTAGTTCAGAAGGAATAACTAAAATTTGGTTAGCTGAACTTGTGACACATTCCATAGAGATGTTTTCTCAAGGTCAAACTGTTCTAAAATATTTACCATCATCTATTTAATCCAATTACTGTAGAAAGCCATCTGAAAGTCTTTTAGCTGTTTTTTAATTCAAGTAACCAGCTGGAGAGCTGCAGATGGTGTTGACAATGCTATCTGCAATTATGAAGCATTTTCACTTTACCAGCATTTCTTACTTTATTGGAAACTTTACCTTTTCTATGGACATGTCATGGTAACATGGAATTCTGCGAGTGATGTGCTACTTTACTTTTTTTTTTCCCTCTCTTGTGGGGTAAGTACTATTGACTGGCATTAATGGGGGTGGGGGGAAATCAGTTTTCACTGCATAACTGAGATCTAGTCTGGAAAACCAGGTGGGATTAGTTCAGCCAAATTCCTTCCTTGCGCTTTCAATCTGTGTTAGTGGAGAAGCAGACTTTCTCTAATTAAGTTGTTTTGCACTTAAATCTGCTGAATGTGCCTAGCTGTGTGTTGTATCCCTTGTGTCTTGTAGTTCTGAAACCCCAGTTTAACTTCTTTTTTTTTTTTTTTGTCTGCTGATACTGTGTAATAGATCCCAGAAATCAGTCTGCTGCATTAAGTAGTATTTAACTTAGTATTTTAAATTCTTCTGTTAGTTTCATCAAGTATAAGTCATTGGAGAACTGTTGAAGGAATGGAGTTGTCTCTCTCTAGATACAATCATTCTAGACACTGTAGGGATTTAGTTTGGAGGGATCATCTCGGCAAGGTCAAGCAACAGACCTTCCTGAAAAAGACCTATCCTTAGCTTTTAACTTTCTTCTCCCTAGGAAATAGTGACCTATAGTATGTGGTATTGTTAAAGCAGCAGTTATCTCATATGGAAGTTGAATCTTTAAATAAAATATTTATCTTCAGAAACTGATGGTTGTTAGCTTGTTAGATGGCTGCTAAAAGTTAAACTACATAAGCAGCAGCATATCACTCAACTTCAGGAGGTGGGAACTATGTACTCCATCTGCACCTAGCGGGTATTTCCATACCTGGGGTCAGAACTGAGAGACACAGGCAAATTCTGGGTTGCTTACTTTCTCTAATATTAAAATTGCTGAGATGCCCATTTCTGCTCTGAAATGGGCCTTCGGTGGGGTTTGAAGCATAGTAAATGAGAAAAACAGGAGATCATGTTATACCTTTAGCATGAACTCAGTGCACCCCTCCTTGCACTGGAGAGATTTGTCAGCTGGCTCACATGTCCTGCTGGCTGCCCTCTGACATGACCTCTCGAATGTGACAGGCTCAGTGTCCCATGCAAGCCTTGATGCTACCTGTCTGCAGTCTTAAAAATTGACGTGACAATTTGATTCTTAATTCTGTTAAAATCCACCACTTTGTAATGGAGAACGATACTACATATTTTTAGATGTGGCTGGTGTTAGAGAAGGAGTAAGACTTAACAAGCACTGTCAGGGTACAAATAAGTGTTCTGCTGTCTGGGTCACAAAAGTCCAAGTATGTGGTTGGGGGTTTTTTGCCTTCACGACTCAACATTGTAGTTGACTTTGATTTTTACAAAACTTACACAATCCTGGTAGAGACATATTTTTCAAAGTACTGAAATCTGGTTTTTCTTAGAGAATCTGCTTTGTCTCCTTATGGCTACGGTTTATCTAAAATGGGAGGTAAGTAATTAGGATCTGTGTCAGAACAGGCAATAGTTAACACATCTGTAGGAGAAATTGTACCCAACAGTAATTGGATTAGCTGTGTAACTTGCTAAGTGTTACGTGTTTTCACATTCACTATACATAATAACAAGTATTCCTCTTGTATACCTTTTTGGTAGAAGAGAGTAAACTTCATTTAGAATGGAATATTTCAGTTGGAAGGGACCTACAATGATTATCTAGTCCAAATGCCTGACCAATTCAGGGCTAACCAAAAGTTAAAGCATGCTAAGGGCATTGTCCAAATGCCTCTTAAACACTAACAGGTTTGGGGCACCAACCACCCCTCTAGGAAGCCCGTTCCAGGGTTTGTCCACCTCTCAGAAAAGAAATGCTTCCTAATGCCTGCTCTAAACCTCCCCTGGTGCAACTTTGAACCATTCCCACACATCCTGTCACTAGAGACCAGGGAGAAGAGCTCAGCACCTCCTTCTCCACATCCCTTTCTCAGGAAGCTGTAGAGAGCAATGAGGTTGCCCCTCAGCCTCCTTTTCTCCAAACTAGACCAGCCCAAAGTCCACAGCCACTCCTTGTAGGACATCACTTCCAGCCCTTTCACCAGCTTTGCCCTCCTCTAGATGCATTAAACTATCTTCTCATCCTTCTTAAATTGCGGGGCCCAGACTGTACACAGTACTCAAGGTGAGGCTGCACCAATCCTGCTGTAGCAGGATAATCACCTCTCGACTGGCTCATGATGCTGTGTGATGCACCCCAGGATGGGGTTTGCCCTTTTGGCTGCCTGGGCCCCTAGGTCCTTTTCTGCAGGGCTGCTCTCCAGCTACTCCTCTCCCAGTTTATACTTGTGCCTGGTGTTACTCCATCCTAGGTGCAAAATCCAGCATTTGGTCTTGTTAAATTTCATTCCATTAATTATAGCCCAATGCTCCAATCTACCTAGATCCCTCTGCAAGGCCTCTTGTCCCTCAAGAGAGTCAACAGCACCTCCCAGTTTGGATCATCAGCAAACTTTCTAAGGTGCATTCAGCTCCTGCATCCAGGTTGTTGATAAATACATGGAGCAGGACTGGTCCTAGAATCAAACCCAGAGGAACACCACTGGTGACTGGTTGCCAGCCAGATGTAGCCCCATTCACTACAACAGCTGTATAACTTGTCCAGAAGGATGCTGTGAGGGACAGTATCAAAAGACTTACTAAAATCCAGAAAAACTGTATCCACCACCTTTCCTTCATCCACTAGGTGGGTGACCTTATCATAGAAGGATATCAAATTGGTTAAACAGGACTTTCCCTTTGTGAACCCATGTTGACTGTGCCTGATGACTGCATTGTTCTTTAAATGCCCTTCAATAGTACCCAGTATGATCTTCTCCATAGTTTTTCCAGGAACTGAGGATAGACTGACAGGTCTGTAGTTCCCTGGGTCCTTCCCCATGCCCTTTTTGTAAATTGGAATATGATTGGCTAGCTTCCAGTCAGCAGGGACCTCCCCAGACTCCTAAGACCTTTGGTAGATGATCGAGAGAGGTCCTGCCATAACATCTGCCAGCTCCTTCAGTACTCTGCGGTGAATCCCATCAGGCTCCATGGTCTTGAGAACATTCAGCTGATCCCTTACAGTTTCAGTGTCCGCAAAATGGAAAGTCCCTGTTCCACTCTCATGGTTCTCCAACTCAGGGGACCCAGCAGCCTGAGGTCTATCAGTATTATTAAAGACCGAGACAAAAAAAAGTGTTGAATGCCTCTGCTTTTTCTTCATCCCTGTTAGTCAGACGACAGTCTTCAACAAGTATCAGTCCAATGTTTTCTTTAGACCTCCTCTTGCTGTTAACATACTTAAAGCCCTTCTTGTTATCAGAAACACTGGCCAGTTTTAACTCTAATTGAGCTTTGGTCTTTTTTGTCTTCTGCCTACATAAACGAACCACAGCTTTGTACTCTTCCTGCAAAGCCTGACCTTGCTTCTAGGGATCATACAATGTCTTTTTCCTTTTGAGCTCCATTTGGAGTTCCCTGTTCAGCCAAGCTGGCCTTCTGCCCCACTTGCTTGACCTAGAACAATAGAATTGCCTGCTCCTGTGCTTCTAAAAGGTGTTTCTTAAAAACTGACCAGCACTCATTGACAGCAGAGGGTAACTGTTCTTCAGAGCTGAATATTCCCTGAAACTGTTGAATTATTATCTTATAAATTGGAATTAGCTGATTTTTTTGTTCTGTGTTAATCAGTACTACTTGCTTTCCTTTTAGATCAGTGTATTGTTACTCGGACATACCTCTTTCTCCATAAATTTTGGTTCTTCAGTGCTGCCTATTACTTTGGGAACTGGGCATTCATTGCAGTAAGTACTTTGATTACAGCTGAATCAACTGCATAATTTACAGTAGTTGTCACTGAATCATTTGCATCACCACACTGCCATTCAGTTTTATATATATTGCCCTTGCATGCCCCTTAACTTATTCAATAATAGTAACTTTTACTACTTATTTTAAATTTGCAGGTCTTCTTAATTGGATTAATTGTTTCATGCTGCAAAGGCAAGAAATCAGTCATTGAAGGTGAAGTGGATGAAGATGATTCAGACATGAGTGACGATGAACTCTCTGCTTATTACCGTTGATAGCCTTTTGCCTTTAAGATGGAAAAATGCAATTTAAAGTTATGTTGAAAGTCATATCCATGTGGAATTGGTATCCAAATAAGCATCCTTGCACCTGTAAAAATAGAGGAAATAGGTATACTCACTTAAAGGGGTAAAAAAATGAATATCACTTTTTGAGTATCACTGTTATATTGGAACAAATATTGAAGCTGGGTTTGAATAATATATAGAAAATACTGGTTTATGATTAAACTTATATGTAACTTTCTGATGTATAATTTGATGGACTGTTGTAACTATTTCATGATTCATTATGCTTTTCTGTTATCTTGAGTTTTCTTAAATACTTTCATGCCTAACTTGCAGGATTTTTTTTATTCAAGCTCATAAATAGTAAAAAAATAAGTAAATAAAGCTAGCTAAAATCCTGCAGAACATCTGGTGTAAACATTTGCTAGAAAGATTTGGATGAGGTTTACACTTTCAGAAGGATGTGACTTGACTTTTGCATTAGTTCTGCTGGCATTTCTGGGATTCCCATATAAAACTGTAGCTAACAGGAGACTGTCCTTAAAGTACGCCAAAACCATCTACTTAAGGGGAGTTCCCAGTCGTAAAGAATAAGTCACTTTTGTACTGTTATCCCCACTGAGTTACCGTGAGCATCCTCAGGTAACTATGAGGTGAGGTGGCTTTTGCTCTATCGAAGGAAATCATTAGTGTAAATAACAATATTCAGCATTGTTGCAGTGTTTTAGTACAGTTCAGTTCTGAAACTGCCAGGTGCCTGACTTAGTAATAACCAATGGAATAATTAAGATGTGATTAATTTTTAACTTATTTTTCTCTTTAATGCAAATTGTCTAGTTTAAAGTTTTCTTTCACTATTTAATGTAAATGTTGTCAACTTGTTTACAAGCCAATATGTTTATATAAACACAGTTCATAAATATTTTTGTCATTCATGTTGGTTTTGTACAGTAATGTTATTTTAGCTGTACAGTTACTGAGCTATATTTCTGAGGCTGAAAAATACCTTCAGACATCCTTTGACAGACTCAGAAAGAGAAAATGTTTACAAGTACAGGTTTTTAAACTTGTAATGCTGGCTGAGGGAAATTATAGTCCATGCAAGCACATGGAGATCTAACCTAGGTCATCTTTTTATAAGACTAATTGTTAAATAATTGTTGAAACATAGGGGGATTACTAATGTCCTACTTACATGTTTGCAAAGTCTTAAAACTGACAGGGTTTTTTCAGTTTTTTCAAAACCAGTCTGCCTCTTCCTGCATTATTTCAGAACAGCAGGCTCTCAGGAACTTCTGAATTTTAATTCATCTTCAGTATTTCAAGGAGTCTTAGGTGAGTTGCTTAGTTAATGCATGAACACAGGGAACTGATGTTTGGACTCGAACGAACAAAACAAGTATTTTAACAAGCCTTCTGTGCCAACTGCTCCAGTAATGTACATGTTTATGTGGCAACCTGGAAGCAGGTCTGATGTTGCTGCTTGATGATAAGCTTCAAATATGCAGTCAAGCCTGCTCAACTAATAGCAATCAATCTGTTTGCTACCAATGAGACCTCTGAAAGGACAGAAATGCATTCAAACACTGGTATTATGTACTGAAACTTGCCTAGGCAGTCTGAGCTCCCTTTGACTAGAACTAGCTGAACACTATTTGAACCTGACCACTGGGGAAACTCACAAGGAATTATTTATAAGACGTTTGAGTAACTCAAAATGTAAGGTGGAACCTGATGTTGACTGTCTGGAGGCTGCATCCAGAGGGTATGAAGAAGTTAGAGTATACATCTTTGTAGATCTCCTGGTGGAAAACTTACATGAGCTAATTTAAATAAAATTAACTGCTCAGATGTTTTCCTCTTTTGTAGGTTTTGTTTATATTTCATCTTCAGCTTTAACCAGTGATAATTGTCACTTCCTTCTTTGGCTGTATCATGTACATATTTGTTTGTTAATCTTTCCAAGTGTAAGATTGGGCTGCAATTTTGCAGAGTTGTATTGAATCTGTCTTCTCACTGGGGAGATCACTGCTTGACTGAGGAAGATGATGGTTTCATGCCACATAGCTGCTTTTATGTTGTCTGCAGGCTTAGGGGGTCACTGGCCAAGATGCCTGCCCAGTCCCTAGGTATATGTTGCTATAGGTATTCCCCGTTTCAAGGCTTTTCTTAACTTCCAGGTTCTTCCCAATCCAGTCCTGTTTCCTGTCTAAATAGTCTATATGCAGAAATACAATGATCTGCCTTTGAATTGGTGGCTTTGTCCCTTGTCTCTTCAATTAAAGGATTCAGTAAGATTCTTGTAAATCTGGCTAACACCTAGATTAAAACCCGCCCCTTGCTTGTTGCAGCTAGCAAGAAGCAGGCTTCTGCATGAGAGTTTGAAAGTTGTTTCAGACATTTGCTGTCACCCTCTGTCATACAAGCAGTAAATAACTGCCACCATTTATAATCAGAATTATTCTTCACCTGCCACATCCTCACTGAAGTTTGAACTCAGGAGTTCAGTGAACCATTTGACTGACAAGGTTTTAAAAGATTTTGTATGTGCTAATGTAATAAATATGTACTCAAGAATTCATCTCTAATGAACACTTCATGTGATGGAAACCTGACATTAACTGTACTGTGCCTTTAAAATGAACTAGAGGTGGTTTATGAAATTTGTGTGTTGAACTTGCCAACTGGATTTGTACATCCAGTATCACCCAGTGAGGAAAAGTAGCAGTGAAATTTGAGGATAGCCTTAGCTTAAAAGACTTGGCTTTGATCAATAATTGCAGGAACTTTAGGAAACAGAACTTCCAGTATATTATTTCCCAGTTGTCTCTTGTGCTGTCTTCAAGAAAATACTTGCAGGTACAACAACGAATTACTTTTCTTCCACAAAGCTATCCCTGTTCTGGCAGCACTTGTAGTATGATTGAAATAGTTCGCTCATTTAGCTGTTAGCTATGAAATGATAGTCCAGAGTTTTCTGCAGGTTTTGGAGCAAATTTGAACTTCCCAGGTATGTTATAATACAGCATTCTACCTTGTAAGCAAACATTTAACATCTTCAACGGAGTCTTCAGAGGTCTCAAGTTTCTGGACTGAAGTCCCTTCAGAAGGCATCAGAATTGTTTCACTGCTTTGATTATATGAATGATATTCCAAATCTACCTCTGTAGTGTGAGCTTTCAAAACTTCTGAATGTGTAGTGCTATTGTCACACTTGGGTTAGGTTAGATTTTTTTTTGTACTTTTGTAGTCAGCTTCTACCATGTTGGAGGCTCATGAACATTTAGAAACTAGTGAGCCTTAAATCTTGCTGGTGTATCAAGCATAAACCATGGTGACCAGGAATATGTTTGTTAGAATTGAGCAGGAACAGATGCCAAATGAGTCCTCATCTTGCTGCTCATTCTATAGTGATTGGTGGTTTATCTAGAGTTACAAATCATAAATACAATAAAGCATGTAATAGTCTGTTTTTATTTCTTAGCTGAAAGCTGGCAGCATGCAGCAGATTTCCTGCTAAAAAAAGCTGATTGTCAGAAATGAGTGAAAAGCCTTTCCTAGTAAAGAGTGTAAAGAAACATCTGCTACTTTGTATTTTCTGCTTTGACTTCAGGAAAAGATTTCAGGGTGGACTTGAGGCTTTGCACTGAAAACAGTAATCTACTTCTAGGTAGTGTGCATGTGTATCAGAGTCATGCCATGTAGAATGGTAATTTTGTGCTCAGATAACGTGAAACTAATGAACCCTTTCAGTGTTGCTCATGTTTTTGCTTCTCAATAATCCATGTAGCCATAACTATTCAGACGATGTCTTTGCTTAGAAATTGTATTTCTCTGGCTCACAGCTGTTTTGTGAAATTTGACTTTCTCATCACAAGTTCCTGTATTGGACAGTGGCCTACAACAGCATTTTGAAAAACATTATGCTCTTGTAGAAACTATTATGAGGTTTATCCTAAAATACTGGTAGTTACTGGGGTGCAGAGCAGAGTTACAGTTGAAGTAGTCAAGCAAACTGATTCACGTGTAGAAGGTAACTTGTGTCCATATAAGTAAGTAGATATTCAACCCATTATGTCAGTACTGAAACAGTTCTGGATATGGATAGGGAAATAAAGCAGCGCTTGTGAGATTAAGCAAAGGACAAAGATTCATCCCTTCCTAAAATAGTCTAAAATAACTTGAAATACACAAGCTGTAACATTTTTCTGGCTCTTAGGCTGAAGATTATAGTTCATATTGATAATACATCTTATTACATGAGTGTAGATCTGTTCTCTTGCAGCCTTCTGCAAAGTCAGCTTTCTTGCAGATAAAGTGAAGAAATAAAACTGAGAATCACTTTTTTCCCCTCTAAATATGTATTTTGACTATACTTCTCAGAAGAAATAAAAGCCTTGTTTTGGTTGTGGTAAGATGTCATTTTCTGTTAATACCCTAAACTTTAAAACAAATTCTGCTTCTAAATGAAGACACTTGCCAATTCTGGATAGTTAAATGAATCAGAAATTCTAGTGTTCTTGACCAGCTCTAGTGAGATGTGGTTGTTACAGAAATTATCTGGAAGTTGGACTAATTTTAACGTCTTCCTAGTCAGAGAGACTGCATGAGTGATAGCACTTCAATCATATTCGTAGCTATAAAGGGGGTTATTTCTTCGAAATAGACAATTTAAGCACGTTTAACAAAACCATATTTATACCTTTCTTCTAGATTCACCTCTAGGAAGAGTGATATATTTAGGGGGTCAGACAGAGGAATTTTGGTTTCTGGAAGGCTTATCTTGGAGGTAAGCCACCCAGATCTGCTAAGTTTCCTCATCCTCCTGTGTTAATCGCCCAGAAGGACATGTGGGGCCTTCCCTTACAACAGCAGACTAATGTTGAGTCTTAATTTTGCTTGTTATAAATGTATCTGCTTTTTTCCCCAGAGAAAATATCCAGGTTGCCTATAAAACACAGCTTCCTTTTTTTCTGAGCTATTTTGAAGAATTATGTCAAAATCCTTACTGTGAGAATCCAAATATCTTGCATAAAGGTGGAGACTGTGCGAACATTCAGAGCAAACATGAAGCTGAACATGTGCATAGCTCCTACTGGGATGGAAGTCTGGATATGGGGCTCTTCACCAGAATGTATTGAACTTCCTAGGAAGAAGCGAAACGTGGATTGATTTAATAGTGACTCTGCTTCTGCTAAGCTGCTTAAACATAAATCATGATTTATTACTGTGAGCTCTTTAGAGTTTGAAGATTCTCCTACATGTAGTAAGTATATCACTTCAGCTCAGCGCTTCAGAGTCCCGACAGTTTTTATTAATGTGAACGTCTATGGTATTTTTCTCCTCCTCAAAACTTGCAGCTTCTGAACTTACTACTGTATTAAGCACTTGAAGGAATGTCCCAGGACTGAAATGTTTAATTCTGATAGTTAATCTATAATTTAAAGGTATTGCTTAGGTCCTAAACTTCTGAGTTGTACTTGTTCTCCTCTTAACTTTTAAGTTAGAACAAATGCAAATCTGAATCCTTACTGCCTGCTGACTTTACAACCTTTCCAAATAGTGATGTTCAAGATGCTGATGGCAGGTGTATCTGGTTTGGATGGATGGAATATTCTTTTGGAGTGGGCCTGAGAAGTAAACTACAATTTATTGTAAAGTGCTTTTTTTTTTAATGTTTTGAGATACCTGATCCTGAATGCAGAACAACTTCTTGTTTGAACTGAAAGTTAAGTTCTTAACAATGGACATATCTTTCTAGTGCATGGAGAAAAAAAAATAATCACAATTACAAAACATGAACTCCAGAGGAATTTTCCCTTTTTCCTCATTTTCCCAACTATGAAGCACTTTATTTTTTTCAGAAATTGATCTTTAATAAAACTATCATTATTTCTTCATATCCTTGACTAAAAAAATATGCCTTTTAAGTTGTACAGACACAGATAATAGGATTGTTTTAGGGTAGGATTTTCAAAAATGCGGGGTGCAGCTCCTAATGAAAAGCTCTAGGAGTTCAGAACCTGGGTGATTTGGAATATGCTGCTTTGTGCTTGAAGTATTTGGTATCTAAAAGTTAGATGCTGCTTCACTCTAGGCTAGTTCTCATTGTGGGGAGAGTTAATTCTGCAGGATGGTGTGTGCAAAACTAGAGTGTTAAGAAAGGAACCTGTCCATTACAGATGTGCAGGACCTAAACCTGGTGTTTAGGTTCCTAAGTTTTGATCTATAAAGATGCTTTCATTGCTGACAGGGCATTGGATTTCTCCTGATGAGTCAAATTTCAAGTGCTATAGCACCTGTCTGGGAATGTGGCTTTGCATCTTCCATAGGCAAGAGATGAACTTCATTTGGTGGAAGCTGGGCAGGGGCTGAACCTAGATTTTTAGACCTGGCATTTGAATTCTTTCACGTTCATAGCAAAAGTTGGTTAAAAGGTGTGGGCAGAACTTAGTCTGAGCAAGTCCTGTCTAAATCCAAATCCATCTAATTTTAAGCAAACTAATCCTGGGTATTTCTAAAAACTGCTATTGCATGATTTGGGCTACTAGGCTTCCCAGACATCTGTAGTTAAGGTCCCTTGTATGTTCAGAAATGTCCTTCTCTGCATATGTGCCAAACATCTGACTTGTTCTGTCTGAAACACAGCTGGGACTACCTGCTTCATGCAGACATCTAGCTGGCTGCCATACCTGCCCGGTACTGGTAGATCATGACACTATCCTCAATTTTAATGGAACAAACTTATGTTTTCACACCTGGAATAGAGTCCTCATCGCCACACTTAGAGGGAGCACTCAGCATCCCTGCTGTTAAACTTGATGGATTTGAGACTTCTAAACATCCATTGACATCAAAGAGAAAAGCAGAATCAGCTTCTATAGCCAATTGCTCTGCGGTGTGTCCACAAGCCAAGTAGCGGTGGTGGTCTTTATAATTCTTATAATTTCTTATCATTTCTGTGGCCTTGGAGGTATTCCAAGGGTGGCTAGATCTGTCCTACAGACTTCAGAAAAGCTGCATTGTAACATAAACAAGCAAAAGAGCACTCGTGCATCCCAGTCCTGCCATGTTGCCCCGCTGAACAGCAGATTTATCACGCTGTGGAACCAGTGCTACCCACGTGACGTGTGTGGAACCAGCACTGATGTGCAAGACTTGCTGAGCAGACAAATGGTGCTAGCTCTAAGTGGTAGCAGTAGAAATCTGCATCCCACCAACAGGGATGCTGTGTTTTTCTTTCAAAGATGATGCACATCTACTTTTGCTTTAGAAGAAGCTTAAGATCAGTATCCTGACAGGCTGGCATCCTCCTACAGTGAAGCAAGGAGCTGTTCTAATGCTTTTCGACTGTTTCCACAGATTTCCGGTACAACTGCAGAAGTCATGTGAGGATGGTTCTGTCTCATCCTCTTAGCTATTTGTGAACAGTCCTTGTTTTGACAGGCTTGCTGGATGTGTCTTCACAGTTCCCAGTAAGGCTCCCAGGTCCCTTGCCAAAGCTGCAGTGATAAGTACGTCATTCAGACTTGGCACATCTATGATTGGGCTGGATGAGTAATGCGGAGAAGGGCTGCTCTGAACGTATGTGCATCTCTGTCTTAAGGAATATGCTCTAAATAGAGATGTTTCCATATTAGCGTCCTGTTTTAGGCTAGTGCCTGAACAGATCTTTGTAGCTGCAACTCTGAGTTGTCTGATATGATGGGGATGTTTTGAACTGAAGAGCTCATCTCATAAAAATACTGGCATATCAATCTTGATAGTGTTACTTTTAATCTTACTCTATCTGTTTATGAAGGGTCTTATGTAGATTGATCTATTAATCTTAAATTAAACATAGGACTTAGCTCATTGTTCTGTAATGACAATTTTTTAGGCTTTGTGATGTTTGCCTTTGTTTTTCAGCTTTTATTTTTAAAATGCTTTTTCAGGGTTGTCATCCAGTCCTGTTGGCAAGTGATCTCCATGTGCTTTGAGGAATCCACTCATTTTGTTACAGTAATGTTGCAAAATTGATCCTCAAGTAGTGTGGCGTTGCACTTCAGTAATCTGGTTGCATAGCTGAGTTCTAAGTCGCAATCCTCTCACACGTAAAAGAAGCTACATGCTCTTGCTGTGCCTAGTGCCCTGATGTTGTGCTCTGACGCGGGTGTATTGTTTGGACCCTTCCCAAAACTATTCTCAGTGATTCTTTTGCAAATCCTCAGCTCCTTAACTGCAGAGATTATGCTGCTAGTTGGCAGATGTACTTTTTTATTTCCCTTACATTTTATCACAGCTCGTACGGCATCATTATTTTCTTGAAATATGCCAGTACTCCCAAATCTGTAATGCTCCTGTGTGAGCCATTGCAGTTATAAAATTTTATATTATTAGACTTGACTATTAAATTGCATGCTGGATGAGAGCTATTCTCCATACTGTAATGGATTCAGCTAGCTGCTCTTGTTCCTGATATTCTGAAGAGGATCCTGCTCTGTAGTCACCTACAGTGGCTGTCCTCAATATGAAGAAAGAAACCCACACCCTATCTAACGTGCTCCGGGGGGGAGTTTGGCAGAGTACCTCTAAAGTTGCCAAGCCTCAGCAAGCCGTATATATCCAGTTTCTAACTATCCTTAAAGCACTTCTAGCTGTTTGTTTGCAGTTGTGTTATTCTCTCTCAAGAGTTAGTAATGAGTCACGTTGTTTGCATCTTTTATGTTCATGTGATTAGTTCTTAGTTATGAAAAATGCCCTTCTGTGGCAATGATGCAAGTTTGATTTTAAAAAGTTCCTAGGGTGGAAACCGTTGCCCTAAGGTAGTAAAATTACTTTTATGGCTCATCTCGCCCTAGGGATAGGAATGTTAAGCCTGACTGACATAATGTGGACACATCTGTAATATTTTATTAAGGTATAGTTTGATGTAACAAAGTTTACTGTAAATTATTTTGTGTTTACGTGTACTTTGAGTTATTAGGCGTGTGAAAGTTATCAAAACCAGGGAGTTCTCAGTCTTTAATTGGATATATATCTATTTTTTTAGCCAGAGAAATACAAAAATTTATGTCTATGAAAGTGAAACAGTGCCTGTTTTAAATTAAGAACAATTACATTGTCTGCTAGGTAAGGAAAGAATAGGATGAGGATGAAACTGAGTCATGCTGAACTGCTTTAACAGCTTGCTGCCAAAATGTACAGTTTTGCTTCCTTTTCCCGACCCTCTCTGCATATTCCAGCTGCATCTAGTGCTTGCCTCATCTGTTTGGAGGTGATTCAGTTTGTTACCGTAATATCAAAAGGAAACAGACTTGGAGGTGTAGAGGAAGGAGAAAGATTGCATGGCTGGGGGGGCGGAAGGATGGTGACTGCCCTTCTTCAGGACAGCCAGCAAGTTGCTCGTAGGATCACATCGGAAGTCTCTGGAAGAAAGATTGTCCATCCTTGGAAGACTACAGGAAGATGTCTGTAAAAACTGATGTGCTCTACCACGTGAGGAAGGAGGTCTCTGTAAGGGCTGAAGACTCAGATGGGAAGGTGGGTATGATGTGTTCTCAGCCATTCTGGAGGACACTTACCCAGCTAAGGGAAACCTTTCTGATTAGTCTTAGGCTGCTGTGAAGCTGTGTCCTAGGGAAATCTGGTCACCAAGGGCTTCTCCTTTTCTCATCTCTTCCCTGTTTCTGCCTTTGGCTCTTATCATGCCCTAATCTTATTTAATCTTGACTTCTGAACTGACACTATGTAGTGTCTTTTTTTTAACAACAAAAATATTTTTGGAGTGTTTTACTGTAGTATGACTTGAATTAAATGTGCTCTAAACAGCAAGTGGATAATGTGACATTTTTTCACACAAAGGTGCAGAAGATCTCTGGTAAGCCTCAGCAATGCCTAGCTCCCTTGCACGTGGCCAGAGTATTCAGACTTGCATGGACTACAGAACAGCTGTCATCTGCAGGGAGAAAAGCCAAGATTTTTGGACAGGTCACCACAAAAGAGTTCTTGGACTATGCTGAGGCCTCACAGTACTCGCTTGTTCCTTGAGGGCCCATAAGGAGCTGATCAGATGGAGATGAGCTGCCTCATCACTGCCTGCCTTTTCTTTAGCAAGAAAGTGCGTTTGCACTGCTTGAGCAGGTGAGCCTACAGCTAGCTATGGAGTGAGCCGGGCTGAATTTCATGCCTCAAGGAGCCCAGAATCATCTTTGAGACAAAGGGGAAAGGGAAGGGCTTGAATTACAGTAAAAGGTAATCCTATAAACATCAGTAAGAAACCAGGGAAGGACTCCTCTGTGACTCGGTGTGGGTCTCAACATGCATTGCTAAGACCATCAGAGGATTTACTGAATTTTTATTGTGCCAGTTGTCACTGAAAGGGTCACGTGGCTGACTCCTGGTGGCTGAAAGATTTAATCCAGTGAATGAAATAGTAAAATGTAGCTTTGAATTAATATGGGAAAGATTAAGAGAGTACTTCAGTAGGATACTTTAAGATGGGTTAAGCCTGTTGAACTTCATCCTAAAATAAAACATGCCCCCTTGCTTCTCCCCCTGTCATGTCCCTGTGTTGCTGCCCCCCTCTTCCCCCCCCCAAAAAAAAAAAAAGGGCTGATGAGATGACAGACCCTTTTGGTTATTTTGGGGAATTCGGTGATGATGTGTCAGAACACTGAAGAAAAGAGCAAGTCTAGTGTTTCTTTCACTTTGAGAGCTGAAAGTAGTAGTCTGAAAAATCTAGCCCAGTCAGCTTCCAAGAAAAATGGTTGAATAATTGGTTAAGTACCTGGAAGCTTGTCAGCAGATAAGTAATAATTGATAGAGATTTACTGAAATCAATTTTCTAGCCTGAGAAAGGTATGGGCATTGTGGGCACAGAGGGAAGTTCTGGCTTTAGAAAGCATTTTGGCAGTCCTGATGGCATTCTGAGAAGTGATCTCAGGAAGCCGACTCGTGGGTAAATG